CGGGGGCACGCGAATGTGTGTGTGTGTGTGTGTGTGTGTGTGTGTGTGTCGGTGTGTGTGTGTGCGTGTGCGGGAGCGCGCGTTTGGGTTTGTCGGGGATGTGCACGCGCACATGTGCGTGTGTGTACGTGCGCGTGCGTGTGTGTATGTGTGTGTGGGTGTGTGCGTGTAGTTCGGTGTGGTTGGACTTGATGCAACGGCGTAGGAGGGCGCTGGATCTGTTTGCAACTCTGTCGAGGAACAAACCCCGAGCAGGCACCCCAGGCACCTGCGCGCGACCGCATGCACCCACCCAGCGCGGCCGCCGACTGCTCGCCGCCGGCCGCCGGCACCGCGCCGCTGTCGAACCAGCCGCGGCTGAAGCCTGCGGAGCTCAGCAGCTGCATGAACCCGTCGCCGTCCCCGCCGCCGCCGCCGCCCGCGGCGTCGTCGGACAGGAGGGCGCGCGCCTGGCGCAGCGCCGCCGACGGGACGATTGCTGCAAGCGGCTTGGGGGTGCGGACTGCGCCGTCAACATCGTAGACCTGCGGGGCGGCAGTCCGCGCGGTGTCACAATATATAGCAACGCGCACCGCCCGAGGCAGGCGCGGCACAATGAATGGCGGCGCGAGCTTTGGCAAACGCAGCCGTGCAAGGGGTGCGCCGGGCGCGCGCTGCTGCGCGCGCCGCAACGGGCGGGCTCTTTTGGCCGGTGGGCTGCCCGCGGGGCCCGCAGCGGCAGAGGCGAGCGGGCTGCCGAATCGAACCTTGATGGCCGCCGGCCCATCGGTGCCGTCGCGCGTCCTGCTTGTGCGGCTGGTGGCCGACGGGCGGCTGAGGCCGGTGCGGTTGTAGCTCTGGCGCGCTGCGGCCCGCAGAGCGAGGGGGATCAGGGGCGGGGGCGCTTGGTAAACATCCGTCCCTGCCGTGATGATGTCATCGTGCTGCTGCCGCTGGCGGGTACGGGAGGAGTCTGGGGCGCTAGTGGAGTGGCACACTGCTCGCGGACTTTTTGTTTGAGTCTTCAGGGAAGGGCTCGACGACACGCCGCCATGGTCAGGCCCCAGCCCGTCTACGAGACAGTGTGCGCAACGTGGCCACAAAGGGAGGGCCAGCAGCAGCAGGAGCACGAGCAAAGAAGCAGCAGCTGCTGCAGCGCCCGCAGCGGTTGCAGCTCACTCGTTGCGCTTGGACGCTGCGGCGCCCAACGTCCGGGGGCGGCCGCGCCGCTCGTGCTGCTGCCGCCGACACCCATGCCTGCGCCTGCGCCGCCTCGGAAGCTCTGTTGGGCCGAGGAAAGGGCGCGTGCTGAGGAGGGCTCACGGGAGAGCGCCCCGGTGCGCGACGCCGCCGCGCCGTCCCGCGAGCGGCCGTTGTGGGACGCCGACATCTGGCCCTTGCGCCACGCCGCAGGTAAGGTCCTTGATCAAGGTCTCAACGGCCTGATTCTACTTGGTCTGGGGTCCAGGACAAGTTTCCCGTCTCGGCTGTCGGCGGTGGATTGACCATGAGCGCAGTAGATCACGATCGCGCCGCTGCAGGAACGGCATTTATCTGCCGGCTCGCATATCTGAAATTCGCCGTCATACTCAGGTGCTTGTCCTGACGCACGGCATGCGAGGGAAGTTCGAGACCTTGGAACGAAGCTGGGCGAAGGGGAAAGAGGTGTGCCCAAGCAGACCATCCCCTCGCGTCACAATCATCCCCAATACGCAATAAATCCAGGATCACTCATCTACTTTCGCTTCTATCTATTTGCACCAACCCGCGAGCCACTGCCAGTCGTGTCAGCCCTCGGCAAGCCCCAATCAGCATGCCTTCCACCAAGCTCAACCCTGCTGCGGCACCCTTCTATCCCAGCGCCTCGTACGACGCGGAGGAGCTGGACAGCGAGGTGAGGCTTCTCGCTCGTGCCGCGCGGGCTCCTTCGCGGCCTCTGGGTCTTGACCCCCTTGTGAAGCACGCAATTGCTGGGCGCACTGTTTTGGCGCCGAGTCTGGGGCGTGAGCAGCCTATGGGGTGCCGCGCTGAGTGGGCGCCCTGACCCACTGCCTGGGGGGCGACCTGGCGCTGACCTGCGCAGCGCCGCGCGCGCACCCATGCCTGGGCAGTCCATGGGACAGCAGGGTCGACATGTGCTTGCAGGTTTGTTGGTGTGTCTTGGCTTGCTTGATCGATGTCGAGCGAGCAGCAAGCCCCACCACGCTGGCAGGCGGGGCATAGACTTACATGGCCCCCTGCACACCCCAACCACCCCCACCGCTTCCTCACCACGCCAGGAGTGCATCTCTCAGGAAGAGCTTGACGAGCTCGAGGCTGCGGAGGAGTGGGTCGCAACCATGGCCGGCATCGAGGAGGCCGAGAGCGCGTTCATGATTGAACTCGCGCTGGACCTCGCGCCGCCCGCGCTCGTGGCCGAGGCCGAACGGCGCTGCGCCGCCGGCGAGGCTTGATCACGGGTCGTATCAGGCGCCGCCGTCCTCGCCCTCGCGGGGGCGGCGCGGCGCCTCAACAGTCAGGCAGGAGATACGCAGTCGGGCGCAGGACAGCAGCAGTAGGGTGACCTTACAGGGCGGCCGAGTATGGTTGCATCACACACGCTTGTCGCAAATGGACGGGCCAGCACAGCATCACCGAGATGGGGTAGAGCACTCACTTGACAAGGATGGCTGGGGAGCACTCGTTTGTCACCTCGCATCCCCTTGACTGCCATCCTGTCTGCTCGGGCGGTCTGATTGATTACACAGGCGGCGCCGCTGCTTGTCTCACCCCGTCCTTTCTTTCCAGGATGCTTGTGCTCGCACCTACTTACACGAAAACATGAAAAAAGGAAAAATGCTCCTGCCGTTTGTGCCACCTGTTGTGCAACCATCCTCTTGTGCAACCAGCAACGATTGTACTCCTGACCCCGTTTTGCGCCTGACAATGTCGGCTGCCCGTGCCGCGACGCGCGTGTACACCACAACACAAATTGTGTGCGAAGATGCTCCACTAGCTCCCTTCACACTTAATTCCCTGTAATCTATGTTTGGCTGTCCGGCATCATAAACGAATGCTGCTCAAAATGTGGGATGTCGAGCATTCCCTGGAATATGATAAGCAGCCGTCTCTGGCAGGTGTGCAGGACAGGCGGGGAGGCGGTGAAAGGCCGTGAAGGGTGGGGGGCAACCACCACGCGGTCATGGCCCCAAACTCAAAAAGGACTGCGCAGGCTCCTGAACAGCCGGCGCGCTGCCCTCAGCTCTGTGCAGTCATCATTGCCTGTTGCCCAGCACAGCCAGGCTTCTTTGAAAGCCCCTCCTGCATGACTGGCGCCCAAGCCCCGAGCCTAGACAGCAGGACCCATCTGGGCCGTTACAAAGCGAATACAAAGCCTGACACGCCTCGGGCGGCGCACTGTTAGCAGGTGCGTCCATGGTGGGCGGTCGCGAAATAAACAGAGGGTTGATGAGGAATGTGGCCGCCAATGTCACAAAGTGGATGGTCGCGCAAGCAACAGGGTAACCGGCATGATTCTTTGTGCCTGCAAGCAGCCTGTGGGGCTTGGCAAATAAATAACAGTTCGCCTAATGCCCAGAGATACAACAGGACAAGGATCTCCCCGCATAATCACATGTGCAGGGAAAGCAAGCCCATGCCGCCCAGCGTTCATACGTGAGTGTTTGATGGGCAAGGGCGAGCTGCGGCACGAGCTGCCCCCGGCTGTTTGATGCAACTGTGCAAGGAGGGCACTGGGTGCAGGGGCGCCTGAGCACGGTATGCGAAGCCGGCCAGCACTTAAACCCCGACACTCACCACTGAACACGCCACTCCTGATGCCACAAGCTGCGGCCGCGCCGAGGCAGGCGCAGTGGGTGATGGGGATGCGTGGCTGGGGGTGGGGGCGGGTGACACACTACACAGCGTCACACCGTCACGGGTGTGGGTGGGGAAAAGGCTGGGAAAGGCGACCGCCACTGGTGCTGGCGGCGACGTCGCCGTGCGCCCCTGGCCTGCTGAAGGCAAGGCGGGCGCGCGGGGGTAAGCCCACGCGCAGGGGCCCATGGTAAAGCGAGCGCGCCCGTTACGCGGATGCCGCGCAACGTGTGCCGGCACAGGCGCTAAATCGCCGTCAGGGCTGCTGCAAGAACGAAACGTAATGAAGGCAAATGGACAGCAGCGCACATGCAACAGGAGCCGGATGAAGGGCATGGGCACAGGCAAGGGTATGGGGCGAGTCAACACAACACGGCTGGCGCCTCCGGCAGCCAGTGGCGGGCCCCACGCAACAGCACGTGAGCCCAAGCGCCTCAAGTGGCCCCGGCGCATAGCCAGTGTGCCTTAGGAGCAGTGATGTGCATAACAAACGGATTCTCGATCCAGCTTGCAGCAGGTGTTGACTTTCGGTGGCCCGGTTGCGCGAAGGTGGGGCCTCGCAAAGCGCCTCCGCGGCTGCGGCCGCGGTTTCGACTGTGGCGCCAAGCACGCGAGGGCCGCCAGGCGCCGCTAGCTGGCGGGCGCCAGCCAGGGGTTGATTGCCTCCCCATTCACCCGCACCTTGGCAGTCGTGTCCGCCAACAGCGACCCCCCAAACGTCTTCCACACCCCCAAATTGGATTTGACGCCGACGCAGGCCGCCACTGTGTCGCAGGCCGCGATCGCCAGCTCCCTCGTGGCAAATGTGGCAAGGTCGACGCCGGCCGAGAGCCAGTCACTGGAATCTGCCCCGTAGGCTACGTAGACAGCGGGGCTGATCTGCAAAGCACAGAGAACGCAGCAAGGGTGGCGCGCAGGGTTGTTGACTTTTAGAGCCGGGGCACCAAAGATCGGTGAGAAAAATGACAAGCCAGCAAGACAGTCAGAAGCGTTCTCACGTGTGCCCCAGCAGACTGACGTGAGGCGCGTCGCTTTCAAACACTTGTTTGCACACATTGTACGCTTGCCAACCCACCCACCCCTGTACCCAAGCGCACGCAAACAAGCCCCCCCACACACGCACACACGCACGCACGTGCGTACGCAGGCAGGCAGGCACGCAGACACGCACGCACGCACGTGCGCGCGCGACACACACACACACACACACACACACACACACACACACACACACACACACACACACACACACACACACACACACACACTCACACACACACGCTCACACATGCGCGCTTGCACGTGTACCCGCCCTACACACGAACACACACGCGTGCACACACGCACACGCGCACACTCAGCCATCACACCTGGAAGAGGATGTAGCTCTGCAAATTGTTGGTCACGTTGGCAGGAGTAACCCCCAAGTTGCGCAGCGAGCACTTGGTGCCCGAACCATGGAGGTCAGTGAACACAAAGTACTGGCAGCTCGCGGCAGCCGAGCAGGCGGCCTGGCAGGAGGCGCCGGTGACGTTCCAGGTGATTGTCTGGACGGCCGAGTCCATGCGGATGTAGTTGTACCTCAGCAGGCTGCTGAAGGCCGCATCAGTCATGAACTCGGGGTAGCAATCCTCTGGATTCGAGATGCCCTGCAAGGGATGGAGTCCAGGGGGGGGGGGCGTTGAGGGCATGGCTTACCGTGCAGGCTGGGAGGCAGGAGGGCGCGATCAATGGCAGGGGACCCGCCAAGAGCTCCGGCGGAGACAGCTCCAGCTGCAGCATTTGCAAACGCAGATGGGGGACGGCAGCTGCAAGGAATGGCAAGGGGGACGTCGCCATTGCAAGGCGCCCCCTGGCGCTCAAGGCCCCACTCAGCAGGGGCCTGCGCACCTTTCGCGAAACCATCAAGCCGGTGTACCCGTCAGGCGCGGGGCACGGCTGGCAGGTGCTGCCGCCGCTGACATAGCCGAACGAGTACGTCCCAGAGGGGCAGGCTGTGCAGGCCGGCGCTGACAGGTCGATGCTGCCGGAAACGCCGTAGCCCGGCCGGCAGGCGTCGCAGTCCGAGAGGCGGGCGGGCGCAAACGTGATGGTGGTGGTCGTGCCGTTGGGGCAGGTGACGCAGGCCGAGCTGCCGAGGAGCGACTTGTAGGTGCCCTGCATGCACGGCTTGACGCCGCCGCTGCCGTCGGCCGTCCAACCCGCCGCGATGACGCACGACGCGTTGGAGGACGCCCCAGTGACGGGTGTCGTGCCCGATGGGCCGGTGGACGTGTTGTACCCCTCCCCGCAGTACGAGCAGGGGTCCTGACTGTTGCCAGATGAGTAGTAACCATAGTCGCACTCGGTGATCTGGCCGTTGTCCCAACCGTACCCGCTGAGCGTCAGGCACTGCGCGCCCGTCGTCGAGCCGACCGCCGCCGTGGTCGTGTATTCCAGGCACTTGGTGCACTCCACGTCCACAAGGCCGTAGGTGTCTGTGCTGCGGCCGTACGTCCCGGCGGGGCACGGCGCGGCGGCCAGCACGCCGCTCATCGAGCGCGACGTGCCGTAGCCGGCCGGCACCTTGCAGTCGTCGGCGCTGGTGGCCCCGGGGCCGTCGGTCGTCAGGTTGCCGGCCCCGCAAGGCACGCACGGCTGCAGGTTCCACCCCGGGTTGTACGTCCCCGTCGCGCATGGTGCCGCGGTCGCGTTGTCCGCGCCAATGCCGTGGCCCGGCGGCACGAGGCACTGGTATTGCTGGGTCGCGCCGCCGGCGAGCGTCTTCATGAGGAAGGGGCAGGCTGTGCAATTGAGGCCGATGGCGTCCTGCAACAAGGTGTACTGCGCTTCCTGGGACCGGTACGTGTCTTGGGGGCAGGGGACGGCCGGCACCGTGCCGAGGGTGCCCGCCATGCCGGGTGGCGCGTAGTAGCCTGGCTGCAGGTCTGGAGGGGTAGGGGTACATTGAGCGGGTCCAAAGGGAGGCAATTTAGGGGTGAGGGACATGCGCGTGCGCGGTTTCAAAGACACAACCCAACCAGCCGCAGCGCACCCGTGCTGGTGCACTGGAGCATTAGCCGCTGCAACAGTCTGCAAGCCCAGCGTCCCAGCCGCGCCGTCAACCCAGCCTCATTACTGCCCGTTTCGGCCGCTCCTTTGCTGCCTGCAGCCCCTGCCGACCCCTGCTGCCCCCAAAGGTCCCGAGCGGCTCACATGCACAATCTGAAGGCGCTGTCTTGCCAACCGCGTCTGCTGCTGTCGTCCAGCCCTCCGGGCACTGTTGGCAGTCCCCGTTGCCCGCCGAGGCTTTGTAAGAGCCCCTGGCACACGCCACTGCCTTGCCGCGCTGATAGAATGTCCCAGCTGGCGCCTGGCAGGCCTGCGCCGCGACCGCGCCCTCGCTCAAGGTGGTGAGGCCCCCGGAGCAGATTGTGCACTTGCGCGTGTTGTAGCCGGGGTTGTAAAAGCCCAGGGGGCAGGGTGCTGAGTCGTTTGCTGGCCCCCAGCCGTAACCAGGCAAGACGACTGCGTGCGACAGGGCAAAGTGACACGGGTGGGGGGGACCCAGTCAGGTCATGCAGACGGGTACAGGTTTGACCTGCACCTTGCTTCTGCTGATGCTCCCAGCCCAGGAATCTGCCATTTATTCCTTGTTGTCCGCACCGCACCGCAGTGCCTTGCAACCCCAGGCTCGGCGCTCGCAAGTAGGGATCCGCGCCCGCTCACCGCATTCGCGGTCCGACTTGGCATACACTGTGGTGGTGGTCTTGAACGCGCCGCATGGCACGCGCATTTCTCCAGACAATTCGGTCGTCCGCGCGCCAGGGCAGTAGTGGCCAGTGTCGCAGGGCTGGCAATTGCCTGTGCCGTCCTTGTAATAGCCTGGGGCGCACCCTGGGGGTGAGATTGCGACAGTCGCAGGGCGACGCAACGCTCAGCTGCTGCCGCTGCTGCTGGCGCTGCCAAATGTGCACCTTATGTGCCCGTGCCCTTGCGTGCACACGAAAGCGTGCGCGCAACTGCAGTATCCCGCCAGGCGCAGCATGCGTGCAAGTTTTGATCGCACGCAGGCGCGCTGTGCTGACGAAGCCAGCAGCAACTTGCAAAGGAACAGCCACAGCTGTAGTGGCACTCACAGCAGGCGCGTCCTCCTGCCCTGACCATGTACCCGAGATTACATCTCAAGCACACCGCCTTGGTGATAGTCCCGCGGAAAAACTGGTAGCGGCAAGCCTGGCAATTCGGCACCGATGCAGCGCAGTCGGCTGCGCTTGGCGTCTGCAGAAGCTGACGCGTGCCGCTGCGCGCCGCTGGCTCTTGCCCTGCAATTGCTCCACCTAGCAACGGGGCCACAAAGATCAGCAGCAAGACCCTCGGCAGCATATCGGGGGTCCTTTGGCTGGCATCTACGCCGCTCTTCCCGCTGGCGACCCCATTTACTTTGAGTCTTCAAGCCACGGCGAGGTTCGTTTGACTACGACGTCGCAGTTCAAGGTGAAGTAGGTATTTTAACCGTTCGAAACATTTGGTAGATACCGATGCTCGTGTGTGGCCCCATCCCTGCAAGGACGAGAGGGTTCCGACCGCGGCGTGAACTTCTGCGTGAATTGGCTGGCCGGGTGACACAGGGCCGATACAATGCCGTTGAGGGGCATGATATCAAAGAGATCATAATGAATTTTTATACGTAGCTGCCGCGTATCCATAGACCTGTCCTGTCTACAGTGGCAGCGACTGGCCACCCCAGCCAACAAACTCTGCATGCTGCCCTGCGGCACACAGCGACCATCTAAGGCTTCACAACCTTCAGGCACCTGCCTGCGTTAGAACATTCAGGACCAACGCACGCCGCAGCAATGACCCAACTTGTACAATGAAGCATGACTGGCATGATGTTTGATCGAGCAGCTGGTGACGCGGCGAAACACTGTGCGGTGGCCTAAGGGCTCTGCGAATGGTTTTAATGGCAGTCAAATATGAGCTGATCAAGCGAGCTGCATGGGTTTGGCTGCATCGCGCGCGCCCGCATTGCAGCAGGCACATGCACCGTATTGTCAGGTCTGTTTTTGGGCGGGCGTGAGTGCCCTACCAGAGCGCACCATTGGGGCTCAGTACACCATTGCGGCGCCACATTCGCAGATAAAAAGGGCCGGGGTTGCTCAGCAGCACGGTATGGCCCCCCCCTCTGTCGGTGGCACGTGCATTTTTGGCACACGCCAGGTGCCGCTCCAGTGGGCGAGGCAGTTCCATGTGGTCAGCGCCACAGGGACACGCGAGTGGCAAAATGTGCCAGTTGAAGTCTCCCGCGATACAGAAATTCTGAATCCACATATCCTGAGCAGTACAAGCTTCCCTGCAAACAAGGCGTACTGCACTCCGAAACATGGCGCTGCCTCAATGTTGCTTTCCTACTGCACCCACACCACTGGCGGGTCATAAGCGCGGACATTGGTGAGGTATGCTTCGAATCTGAATGCGTGATTCGTCAAGCTGTGCAGGGTTTGCATGCAACAAGAGCCACCATGTTGAGCTGCTGCAGTCGTAGCTAGCTCAGGCGCACACAGTACGCGCATGGAGCACATGCACATCTGCGTCGCTGACTGCTGCATGCTGAAAGGCAGTGCTGTTTGTCTTACATGGAACACTTATGATCATCCAACATGATCAATGTCACGAATGTCCAGGACATGGGACCGAATTGCACGACAGCCAATGTCAACCGCAGCGTTGGCTGGCACTGGGTTACCATACTGAACAGGCCGGCCTGCGCTCGCTGCTACCTCGTGTGACGACAATTGTGTCAAATTAAAGCAACCAAATCAACCAAAGTGTGGCGAGCGAAATCACATGCACTGTCGTCGGATCGACAGACTCTCGGCACCCTTTGCTCTCTCCCAACTTCCTCAATCTCGGGTGACTTCCCGCGGATATTTCGAGTGGCAAACGAGCTTCTCGTGCCTGCCGTCCGGGAGGAGTGGAACTCCGCCATGACCAGCCCACGGCCCTTCTTTGGTTGGAGCAGTGTCAAAAGGTCGTCAAGAGCAGCGCTCTTGCTTATGTTGTGCACGTGTTGTGCCTTGGGAGCGGCGCAAGGCCAGCTCGTCTGCAGCCGCATCCCTTACTGCTCGGCGTGCGTTGTGCGCCGCGTCGGGTCGGTGACGCGCCTTTTCTGCACGTCATGCGCCGTGGGCTATGGCCTTTCGACCGACCAGCGCTCCTGCTGGTGTGCACCGGGGTTCTACTGGAACGCCACCGGCTCCACCTGCGATCCCTGCGGCGTGGGCGCGTGGTGAGCATCGGACCAACCATGTGGGTGCGACTCCGCGGAAAGATTATGCCCATGTGCGCAGCCACGGGAGGTTGCAGATTTCTCACGTGGGATGCGCAGGCCGAATGAGCACCAGCATGTTCCCGCATGTGCTTTTGAGGCGACAGGCGCCCGCCTGCTGGCAGCGGTGTCGTGACTGCTTCCCACCACACCTCTGCTGAGTTGTTTAGGTGTGCTGGCGGGAGCGACTCGAACAAAGGGCCCCGTGTGGCGTGTGGCACCAACATGACGACCACAACCAGCAGGGCGCGCTACTCAAGCCAGTGTGGTGAGCCCTTACGGGATTTGAATGATGGGGGTATCACCAAGCCGCAGCAATGCCAGCGCCTTGCAAGGCGGCCGCCGGAGTGCCCAGTTACAGGCGTTGCTGCGCCGTGCAGAGCAGAAAACTTTCTTGTTTAACACCTGGTGTGCCGGCTGACGCCCAGCCCCTCGCGTAAACGCAGTTCCACAGCCAGGTAGCGGCCTCTTGAGCGACGATACCAACGCTGGCGCCTGCCCTGTGGGCTATTACTCATACGGCTACGCCAGGAAGCCGTGCCTGGCCTGCCCCAGAAGCTTCACCACGGCCGGGGCCGGCGCCAGCAGCCGCTGGAAGTGCGGTGGGTGCCGTTTCGTTTACCAGCTGTAGGGATCTGCTATCACCAGCACCCCGGGATGGCGGGGCTGATCTTGGCGGGGACAATGATCTCAACGGTTTTGAAAACCTCTCCTGCAATGAAAGACACAGCGCTGAGCCACCACTCCCCTCCTCCATGTGACGCCGCAGCTACGCCACCTGGCTACCGATACAGCGACGAGCAATCCATGCCCTGCGGTTTTGGTGCCTGGAAAGCCAGTGTGGACTTTGCGGCCGCGTGCACTCCCTGCGGGCCCGGGCGGACCACGGCCACGGCCACATCAACCCAGGCCTCAGACTGCGGCCTGGCAAAGCCCGGGTACCGCCTCATCAAGAACGGCAGCACCGTCACAGGCGCTGTGGCGTGCGCCGCTGGAACGTGAGTTTGTTGCTGCATGGGCTGTTGATTGCGTGGTCAAAACTTCGTGTGGATGCTTTCGGTGCATGCGCCACCAGTATTTGCATCGATAGCCCCCTTAGGCAAAGGCGCTAGCCATGGTCTTATGCTCATATGGTCATCTCAACTCACGCTGCACTGACTGCAGCAGCTGCCGATGTGTGCGCATACCGCTACACACACATGTATGCGTGCATGCACACTCCTGCACAAAAGAGCACCTTGCAGATGCAAAGGGGATGTTCGCCATGACCCTTGCTTGCACGTGCAGGTACAGCGCGGGTGGTGATGTCACCTCGTGCACCTCCTGTCCAACCGGGACAACCACAGTCTGCCGGACTTGCGCTGCCTCGAGTGATTGCATCACAAATGCAGGATACGGTGCGGCTGGTATTGGTTGCGCAGCTGCCGTCTGCGCCACACAATTGCCAAGCAAACACCGCAAGAGCTGTGGCACCGCATGGTGCTTCAGCTCACACAAGAGCGCAGGGTTGTCCTGGCAAGTTCCATGCCCTACTTGGTGCTCATCATTTGGTTCGCTGCTGTTTTGAACCTGCAGGCTACAACACCACAACAGGACAGACCTTTATCTGCCCTGTGACCACCTACAAGTCCTTTTTGGGAAGCTCCTCCTGCACTAGCTGCGGCAGCGGTCTGCTGACTGCAAGCACCGGTTCTACCAGCTACAGTGACTGCTGTGAGTGGCAGCGGTTTATATGTGGTGACCAAGGGCTTCGGCTCTCTGCAACAGGTTCTGCACAGCTGTGGGTGACTGCCGCGGGTGAAGCTAGCCTGGTTATGCACCCCAATACATTGCAAATCTGCCGTTTATTTTGAACGCTGCTTTCCTCCAAATACGCAGACGTCCCGGTCGGCTGGGGTGCGACTGTCATCTCATACGGCACCGGCGGGATGGAGGCCACCAGATGCACAAGTGCGTCAGGCAAATCAGCACAGCAGGGGGTGTGCAAAGGGGGGATTGTGGCGACAGACGGCAGCTCATCTGGATTGGGAGGCGCTGAGGAACGCAGGTGGCAGACAAACGTACGCATGCCTGCAGCTGCACTTGAGGTTGGTGCGGTGTGCGTTACCAATCCACGCCAGCACACCGTCACTTTCTCTTCTCTGCTGTGTTGCCCCTCACCTGATCAACCGCAGCGGGGACATACGGCGCCTCTGCACCTGTCTATGGCCCCATCGGCAGCAGTTACGCCTGCCAGAAGTGCCCCCTCTACATGACCACCAACGACACCAACCCTGCGCTGTCAGGGCCTGAGCAGGCTGCCGTGGTCAACAGCGGGGCCACCAGTTGCCTGGCTCAGCCAGGGTATGGCGTCAGTCCAACAACAAGCCTCGTGTACCTGTGTCCCATGAATACTTACAGCGCTGGCTACACACGAGATGCGTGCGCCAGCTGCGGCACCGGCCTGCTTACCGTGGGGACCGGCT